GGGGTGGGAACTGGGTGGAGGGGAGTTATGGGGGGGGAAAAGAGGAATCAGTGTAATAATCTGAACAATAAAGATTTAATTAAAAAATAAAAAACAAAACAAACAAAAAAAAGATATACAGAGGCTGAATTGATAACAAAACAACACCCTTACATACACTGTTTATAAGAGACTCACTTCAGAATAAAAGACATACACAGACTGAAAGTAAAGGGATGGAAAAGGATATTCCATAAAAATGGAAGCAGAAATTAAAAAGCTGGGATAGCAACACTTATACCAGACAAAATGGACTTTAAAACAAAGGTTATATAACAAGAGACAAAGAAGGACCCAACAATTTCACTTCTAAGTATTTATCTGAGAAACCCAAACACTAAATTGAAAAGACATATACATCCATATGTTCATTGCAGCATTATTTACAATATCCAACATATGGAAACAACCTAAGTATCCAGCAATAAATGAATGGGTAAAGAAGAAGTGGTGCATATATAAATTGAATATTACTCAGCCATAAAAAATAATGAAATCTTGTCATCTGCAACAACATGGATGGACTGAGAGGCTATTGTGCTGAGAAAGACAAATACCATATGATTTCACTTACATGTGGAATCTAGAAAAATAAATAAATAAATAAATAAATAAATCAGAAACAAACTCATGTATACAGAGAACAAACTGATGGTTACCAGATGGGAGAGGGCTTGGGAGACTGGGTAGAAAAGGTGAAGGAATTAAGAAATACAAATTGGTAGTTACAGAACAGTCACAGGAATGTTAAAGTATAGCATAGGCAATATACTCAACTAGAGGCTTGGTGCATGAATTCGTGCACGGGGGGGGGCGGGTCCCTCGGCCTGGCCTGCACCCTCTCACAACTGATAATTGACTAGCAGATCAATTTCCCTTGCACAGTCCACATAGATACCCCGTAAGTCAAGAAGGAAGAAAGGAGATAGGAAGGAAAAGAACAGCACAAATGTAGATAAAACCAAAGTGAATAGCACTTTCATGACTGATGTACTGACTGTGTACTCATTTTAATCTCACAGTAACCATGGCTGCTGCATTTTGTGCCCTCTTCCCACCACAAAGACTCATCTCACTGTTATTAAGAGGTTCCACTTTTGGAAAAATTCTCAAATGCTTTTAATCAAACACATACAAAAGATTGTATTGAAAACAAAACAAAAAGGACAGCTATATTTTAATTAAAGTTCCTACTTACAGTCCAAGGCAGTTGTGGCCATAAGGTAAGTGAGAGGAGACATAGCCAAGGCTTCCACGGCTCCAGAATGGAAGCAGAAGAGGCATTCTGGATCTTGTGTCTGATCAAGTTTAAAGAAATACAAATAGCACCCTGTAACTACATGTGTGATTTTATCTGAATAGAAATAAGAAAAAGCATTATAGGTTAGAAAGAACGCTGGACTTTGGAATTAGGAGCAATGGAGTACTGACTGTGCGATTTGCACAAGCCACTTTGAATGCCAGTGTCCATTTCTTCATCAGTAAAATGATGGCAACTGCCTGTCTACTAAATAGGATGGGGTGAGGACTACACAGGATAAGATAAATGCAAATGGCTTATGTTTATGAAAACTGTAAAGCGCTCTATGTTAGCCATTGTCATTGCCACTTTTCTGGTAACTTTTGCTATGAGATAGACCTTTTTAAATGTACAACAATAATAAAAGAAGAAAGAGAAAGAAACAACATAAATTCTCAGGAATCGGATATCTTGACCAAGTTTTTGATGGGAACAATGACCAATTATGGAGAGAAAAAAGTATCTTTTTTTTTTTATTTTCCTCTTCTGACTTTATTTGCATATACCATGTTGCTTTCTTCATGATCACTTCTAAGAACAACATTCTGACAATACAATCTGCTGACTAGACTAATCATATACTTCATATTTACCTAATTGGAAAGAAAGAGAGAGAGAGAGAGAGAGAGAGAGAGAGAGAGAGAGAGAGAGAGAAGGAAGGAAGGAAGGAAGGAAGGAAGGAAGGAAGGAAGGAAGGAAGGAAAGGAAGGAAGGAAGGAA